AAAACACATTTTATTTACTGACTAAAGTTAGGATATACGTTTATACTGATCCGGCTCAATACGTATACTTTTAACAGAAAATATTATGAAATTAGTACTTTATTTGTACAAGTTCTTTATTAGAAGTATTATATAAAATATTTGTCAACTTAAATAAATGTCTTAGTTTCATTTAAGTAAAACTAGAATCTATAAAATCATTTTGTCTGAAACTAATTATACCGAAACCTAACAACTCATTTTCAAGAAATCTGAAATTTAAGAATTATCACATTTTATTTTAAACAAAGAAGGAAACTCAAAGAATGTCGTGTCTTGTTTCAACAACAATGAAATCAACAAACTGTCATGTCTAGCTACAAAAAAACAATGAAATCTAAACCATCACGTTTAGTTCAGGGCCGTACCAAGGCTCGTACAGAGTGTCAACCCATTGGAAGCACAAGTTTACATCTTTGAAGATAAAAATAGATTAGATTTTACTTTGAATAGAGGCACAGAATTCATTTTTCCCACAGGTCATCATCAACGATCACTATGTTCCTGGTTTAGCTTCAACAACAATGAAACCTAACAACCGTCAAGCCTAGCTACAAAAAACAAACAAACCTAACAATCGTCAAGCCTAGCTACAAAAACAACAACGAAACCTAACAATTGTTATGTCTAGTTTTCTTCTCACAAACCTTTTATTTTGAACAGGGAAAAAAATGACTTATCTTGTACATAACGTACAATGCTCTATTTTATATGTATATTTATGTTAAAGCAATTTATGTTCTCAGTTCAAAATATACGACTCCTGATCACGCAGACCTCACCAGTAGGTTTTGGTTCCAAAATAGGGATCAGGTTAACTTACAAAAGATAAACCTTGTGAAGAAACACTGGCAGTTACGATTTATAGCATTAAGAGTTAATAAAAGCTTTTATCCACGATTCTACTACTGACACCAACCACATATTGCACCATATTGAATAATCGTGTTTGGCTTGTTACAACTTACCAAACAACTTAGGTGAAACTGCCTTTTTATTTTCTACATAAGTACATAGGGGAAAATCCAACAGTAAATAGTGAAATTAATTACAATACTGGTGATATTTTATTTAAATTGTTTTTGTGTTTAAGGGGCCCTAAATCAGTCAAGCTAGAATCAATTTAATTCATAATTTACAAAACTACAGTTTTTAAAAAGCTGATGGGGTCAATATAGACCCATCCCCTCCCCCCATCTTAGTAATTTTAAGGTTAAAGTAACCACAGTAAACATCCATTATAATGGAAGTTTAATACTTTTTGTTTTGCTTTTATCTTTGACATCAAGTTCAAAGAATTATTAAAAATTTTAAAACAACCGTTTCAAAGGTTGTAATTAATTACATTTTAACCAATAAGAATTAGTTCTTTGTAACATGCGTAACAATGAGAAAAATTACTATTTATTAGCAGTTGCAAAGTCTTACATAAAAATTCAAATTTTCAGAACGAAAGAATTAATTTACACCAATGAGAAATACCAGGCATGCTATATAATCTCAGCTAAAAAAATAACTCGTGAACAAAATTGAAAGGTGGAGCAAGTATGAACATAGAGAGAAATTCTATATGGTAACAATCTGTCAGTTTATCTTAAGTCTTGTGTTTGTGGTTGTTGTAACAATGTATCATACAGTCTGTCTTAGAGAGATAGGCAAGAATTATATAAAAACCAGGAGATCAAAAACAAGAAGAATTCAACATTAGGAAAAAAAAGAAAATAAGCTGTGAACAGAATAAGAATACAAGTAGCAGATGTCAGTTTTTAAAAAAATGTAACTTGTGATTTTCAAGACAGTCTTGAAATTAGAAAAAGATACACAATGCAACAGGAGATCAACCCTCAGAGCCGTACCCTTATTGAGTATCCCAAAGTATAAGAATCCCAAAGTGATGTTTATCTCCACACACACACCAACATGGGGCCCACACTAATGCCCCACATGTATAAGGCAATTGTGAGGCCACATGAATTCCCTACACAGAGGAAAAACAATAACAATGCCTCATTAATTCCCATTAAATTAAAGTACAATTTTTCAGCAACACTCGACAGGATGCAAACCATGGACCCACAGCTTCGCAATGTAGCACACTA